TAAACACGGAGCAGAAGGATAGAGATTAAAAAAGAGGTCCAGGGTGCAAAGGTTCAAAGGATGTAGATAGGGTTTGGGTTTCAAGTGTGACCTTTTAGAAGAACGAGCAGGAGAGCAACAGTGGCAGCACTGAAAAGGAGCCTTCATAGTTAGGAAAAGGTACACAAGACTAACTAGGTTTTAGGGTTTATGAATTAGGAGTCTCTTCAGAACTATAGCAGAGGGTTCAGGGTTTAGGGTGTTAAACAATCAAGGCAAATAGGGAGCAGAGTGGTAGGGATCTCATGAGACACATGGGCGGGGACCAGAGTTAGACAGAATTGGTTGCCTCTATAACATCGAGGCCCTTTCTTACCATTTAGGTTCTACCTGACAGGCCATTACGGTGGACCTGAGAAGGAAGGGAGAAGAAGGGCAAGCTGACAGTCAATCCTCCACGATGTTGGAGTAATCAATGCTGGTCAGGGGTCCTTCAGCCWGATGGAAGGAAGCGTATGTGTGTTCATGATGTAACATTTTATTCTGACTTGCCGGTGGAATAGGAACCGGACTGACGCTCCCCAGAATGGAAATGGAGCCAGGTCCATAAGGACCTGTTTTGTTAAAAAAAAAAAAATAATAATAATAATAATTAAAAAAAAAAAAAAAAAGAAGAAATACAATTAAAGATTTACCAGGCACACCATTAGCTTCAAGGATACATATTGAAAGACTTCAAAAATGGTGTAATAAACCCGGTTCAGATCTGCCCAGACACGAGCAGGGGTCGTCACTTTTGGTCAAAGGTCAGAAGCAGGGGTCAACAGTCACTTGAGAAATGTTTGAGGAAGTTCCTATGGTCAAGGGGTATGAGGGTCCGAGTCAAAAGTTGTGTCCAGTACCCCAACGTGAGACAGTTGACTCTTGGAAAATCAAGAGTCAAGCCCAGCACGTGATTCCAGGCCCAAAGTCAAAGTCAACCCGCGGGTCAGCCGGAACCGTTGATCAGATGCACATCATTGGTTGTCTGCAAGTATCCAGAAGATTCCAGTCCAAATGGGACACAAGGGAAATTCAAAATTGGAAACTGCGCTGCATCCAGGCCATTGGCTTTCGATTCATCTGGGCCGTCGACCCAAGGAGACTGGGGGCTGGCCAACCCGAGTCAACCCTATAAAGAGTTGACCAGACCCCGTGGAGATCATTCTGCCTTGCGCTGGCTTGATGCTAGTAGGATATAGTGAGGCTGCTGGAGTTTATGCTGGTGCCAGTGCTGCTGGGTGGTCGCCAGCATCAGGGGAAATTATGTTGGAGCGGCCATTGCCGCCATGGCTATAGACATTGGTGTTGAGGTTGGGCAAGGAGGAAGAGGATCAAGACTGTGAGACTGGAGAGGGTTTGAGGGGAAGCTTACCTGGACTTACCTGGCGACGTCGTGTGTGATCTGCTGCTTTTTTCCACGAAGGTGAGGAAGACTTGATTGGCTGCTGAGGTGGATGGAGGATGGGCGCCCGACTGTGACCTGCACACTGTATATGTCAGAGAACGTCAGACGGAGAGACTGCATTAATGAGGTGGGGACAGGGGGGATAATGCCCGAGGAGGAAGTGGGCAGGAAGAGACTTCATGCATGATTGACAGGGACTCCTCTTCTCCTCCTCTCTGTCTCTTCTCCCCACTACCTCTCTTTTCTGAAGTTATGATGCTCTTGGAAAGTGCACATATGCTGGGCATGGGCATATAATCGATTTTGGAGACATTATTTTGTCCGCTGGGTTCAGACTCGTATCACGACACTGATTGGCTTCTCAACACGACTGGGTCCATTACAATGGCAAGAAGAAGTGGAATTTCTGCCATTGGAAGTTGGAATTAGAAAACTGAAATTATTAAGATTTTATATTCGGGTAATTGCTCGGGAGCTCGCGTCCACGCCGCTCCGGTTAGTGTGTACGCCGACGCTACGGCTGTGTGAACACGCGTCACCGAGCGCGAAAGCGCCATGCACTGCCTACCAATTTTCGAAGTAGGGAGATTGGCGGGAAACGGCTGGCCAGGCGAGAAGCTTGGACGTCGCACAGCACGCCACGGCTTCGGGCGTGTCTACTCCATCGCTGGAAAGGGAAAGAGAGTCAGAAAGGGAAAGGAGGGTGCTATGTCGTAGAATGTACGCAAAAGGGAACTTTTCTCATTGGGGAAAGGAGTGGTCTCGGAGAAGGGAATAAGAAGAAGAACATAGTAAGGCGAAGAACGGGAAAAAACAAGGCAAACCAGGGTGGGAGGAGGAGAGAGGGACTTGGATTCACAGAGGAATGCCTACCTAAGGGTAGGCGAAGGAGCAAACCGACGAACAAGAGACACGAGCCATTTGGAAGACGGGCGAGAGGCAAACATCATTTTTTCAAACCGCTCCTCGAAAGGTTGGACGAGCTCCCCTTCTATTCCAAGGTAGGACAAATACATTTGAAACTCCAACTCAGCCTTGTCAGACGCGAACTGGGTGGAAGAGACAAACATTCCACAGATGGGTGGACTCTCCCAAGAATTCCAAAGAAGTACGAGCAATCATTCCACTACCGCTCACCTTATTTCGTCACAACGGCACTTCCAAGTTCATCAAGAAATTTCTATTTTCCTTTGTCTAATTAGCACTCAATTTTAGCATCCTAGAATTTTGAAACGGTAATCACCAGTTCGCAGTAGCGAATGCAGATCCCAGGGCTCGATCCCTAGTTCCCTATCTTACCTGTGTACAGTATTGATGTCAACCCGTAGACTTGAACCCGCGACCTGTAGGATCGCCAGTGGTAGGCAGGGTTTCGTAGGTCACAGCTTAGAAGGGAATCGAACTGTAGACCTGTAGGGTAGGAGTCTAGACAATTCCAAAGTCGTAGCTGTAGGATGCCTGAAGAGTCAAGGTCGTAGCTGCTACTTACCTGAAAGGGCAAAGTCGTAGCTGCTACAGTACCGAAAGGCCAAGTTCGAGACTTCTAGAAGTGGCCTTTCGGAGTTGGCCTGTGTTCAGCAGAGGCAAGTAGTCGAGTGGTGGTAGTCCACCTAGCCCAGTCAGCAGTCCCAGTTAGTCAGTCCGGTCCTGTTCAGCAAGTACCGCCTGGGACTGTGTGCACATCGTGGGCCAAGGGATACAGGGCAGACCAACGCAGCGCAGAAGTATAAATCAAGAGGCTGCGTCCAGCCATTCATTCGTTCCTGCGGATGCCATGCGGAAGCGCTGCCCCAGCAGCTTGTGCGAGGAGGTTTGCAGTGCGCCCGAAGACGAAGTGGGCAGAGAGGTGTAGTGTAGCGATAGGATAGTGGCAGCCATAGCTGCCATAGCTATAGTAGCGTGTGTGTGTGTGTGTGTTGCGTGTAGAGTGTTGCGTGTGGGACATCCAGGGTGATCCAGAGTGCGAACAGTGAGTTGTGTGGGCSCTCAGTCGCCATAGCCAGTTGAAGAGAACTCCTACCTGGTTACGATATCTTGAGTACTGTGTGGGCGCATGTCGCCAGTTTGCTGTTTCGCTGTTTGCATGCATGTCAAGTGTGAAGAAGTCGAGCCTGATTGCACTGGTATCGGAGCAGGTACCCACTGTTCCACGCGCGCGAGGGTGCAGGGCAGATGTGCCATAGCTGAAGTTACCGCTGGAGGAGGCAGTCCGCCATAGCGGACCTCGAGGTGGAAGAACACGCTGCGCACCTGCAACAAGAAGACCACTACGAAGAGAGAGAGAGAGAGAGAGAGAGTGAGAGAGAGAGAGAGACATGAGTGATACAAGATTGGTTACTTACCTGCTGCGCTGAAGATACCGCTACGGCGGAAGAGAGAGAGAGAGAGAGATGAGCGATCCAAGATTGGTTGTCACTTACCTGTAAGGCGAGATTGCAAAGTCCGGTGGAGAAAGAAGATAG